TTGAAATTAGGAGGTTTCCTTCGTCCTAACGGGCGATTGCCTTTCGCCTCGTTGTTCCTCCGGCATCCCCCTTTCTCACGCGTTGTCCTCCAGACTTCCCCGCGCCCCCAAAGGGTCTCCAAACGTGGAAAGATCAGAGTTAGGTGACAGAGCCTGTCTCCTTAACTCTGCATCGCCCTGGTGCCACCACCGGAAGTCCCCCACATCTGCATTTTAAAGGGACTTGTAAGTACTTAAAAGCGGACAGAGCTAATCAAGAGAATTTAAAATTGCAAGTGCTGGAAACTTTAACTCGGGGATAAATAATCTTCTCCATATTCTAATTGAACTCAAAGGGGAAAATGGCGCCGGAATGCTGCTTCTTTGTTTGAAAGGGGGAAAGTGAAACTTATAAGTATGGCTTCAAAGTGTTTGGGAATTTCTGCTGTTTCTAAAGGCATGATTTCTTCTCCTCTAATACAGCCTGCAGTGCAATCTAAGACAAGATCACCCCCACCTTCTCCCCCACCACCTGCACTTATGCTTAAGGATATTCAAGATGCTTTAAAGCTAACAACACAAGAAATAAAGGAGGAAATGGCTGATCTCTTTGATAGTAAAATGAAGGATGAGATGGCCGACCTTCTTGAGAATAAAAATAGAGAAATGAGGGAAGACATATTGCTTGCATTTCAAGGCTTAGCTACACACATTGAACGTTTGGATGATCGCCTGGATGAAGTTGTGGAAAATACTGAAAAGTTAGAAAGTAGAGTTGCCAAAGTTGAAAATAAGATTGTTATAATGGAGGATGAAGTTACCATCTCACAATATAGGGATATGGAATTTGCATTGCGAATAAGAGGATTAAAGGAGAACTCACGAGAGGATCTGAAAGAGGAGGTGGCAAAGGCTATAGCTCCTATTCTGGGATGTGAATTTGAGGAATTATCAAGAGAGATCGATAAAATATTTAGGGTTAATTCATGGATTGCGAGGCAGAAAAAGTTACCTAGAGATGTGGTTATTTATTTCTCCAGGAGATCACTTCGAAATGCAATTATCCAGGCTTTTTACAAACAGAGATTTCAAATTGCAGATCAAAATATTATAATTTTAAAAGAAATACCTCCAAAAATTCTCAGGCTTTGCTAACTTTTATCTGCAATTTATCCCCTTGTTTGCCCAAATAGCCCTCCCTGTTACGAACTTATTAAAAACTAAGGGAGGGGATAAACTCAAACCTAGTCAGCCACTTAACTGGCCCATGAAGTGCCAAGCCACTTTTGAGAAACTTAAGCACTTGTTTTCCCCTAACCCAGTAAAACTATTTGTTATACAAGCTGATGCTAGTGACGTGGCTGTGGCGGCACTGTTGCTACAGGAAAATGAGAATGGACAACTACAGCCCTGTACCTACACCTCCAAAAAACCTTTCAAGAAATGGAACAACGATGGGCGGTGTGGAAGAAAGAGGCCTATGTTGTGAGATGGGCACTCTCACATGGAGACATTTCTTTCGAAGTATGGACTGATCACAAAACTTTAGAATCACTGAAAACCCCTCTCAAGCTCTTTCCTAAGCAAGCCCAGTGGATACAATATTTTAACCATTTTAAATTCACCCTGCGCTATTTCCCCTGGGAGAAGAAGAGTTTCTTGGCAGACACGGTGTCACAGATGCAGCAATACAATTTGCTCCAAACTCAAAATAATCCAGTTGGTACTTCCATCCCATCAATTGGCAACCCAAGTGATTATCAGGGCTCAAGTACCAAAAGATGTGATGTCTGCCTTAAGAGCAGCCCGAAAGGATGACAAGTAGTTTCAAACACACAGCAACATTTGCTCAATTTGAGACAGACTAGCCTGGGTGGGAGCAAAACTTTGTTCCAAAAAGCCAGAAACTCCTGGTGTTAAGAACCTGCCACGACTCAAAGACAGCGGGTCATTTTGGATTCGTAAAGATGCTGCACCTAGTCAAGAGACAATTTTGGTGGCCATCCCTTAAAAAGGACATTGAAGGTTTTGTTGCTAGTTGTCCAGTATGTGCGTCAGCGAAAACCCCTGGACGGCTTCAAACTGCTGGTGAGCCATCAGCACCCTGGAGAGAGATCTCTATGGACTTTATTGTTGAATTTCCCAAAAGCGCGTGAAATACTGTAATCTGGGTGATAACTGCCTTATTTTCTAAGCAAGTGCACTTTATTCCTTGCTAAAAGATCTCTTCAGCATGAAGCATTGCAAAGCTATTTTTGCATCACATTTATCAGCTACATAGAGCACCTCAATGTATTATCTCCAATAGAAGAGTACATTTCACCTCCAAATTTTGGAGAGCCTTTTTGGACTTGGAGGCTCAGTTCTAGTTACCACCCTCAAACGAATAGGGGTTGTGAACTAATGAACTCAGTATTTGAACAATACTTTAGATGTTTTATCAATTATCAACAAGACAATTGGATAGAACTTTTGCCATTTGCAGAGGTGGCGTATAATAACTCTATACACAGTAACACTGGTTTTACCCCTTTCTGAGTGGCTACTGGTCAAGACTTCAAGCCTATGCCTGAGCTTTCTACTGGTGACCCAGGGGTGCCATCCTTGAAAGAATGGGTCTCTCGGTTGCACAACACCTGGCCCATTGTGAGTGAAGTGCTGGCGGAAGCCTGCGATGCTTATAAAGCACAAGCTAATAAAAAATGAATTGAGCCAAAACCTTTTAAAGTGGGAGAGAGTGTTTACTTGTCCACTTGTTATTTGAAATCGCTTCAACCCTCTAAAAAACTAGGACCTAAATATGTGGGCCCTTTCCCCATAAAGCGCCTTATTAACCATGTGACTATAGAGTTAGAATTGCCAAAGTCACTTTGACAAGTTCATCCTGTTTTTTATTGTTGTTTGTTGAAGCCTGAAGTTTCCTCGCCTTTTAGACCAACAACCTGTTATGATGGAGGGGCAACATTTTGAGGTGAAGGAAATATTGGATTCACGAAGACAAAGGGGGAATCTTCAGTATTTAGTAGCATGGCAGGATTTTCCTGCTGGCCAAAACAAGTGGGTGGATTCCAAGCATGTTAGGGTCCCTAGATCAGTGAAATGTTTTCATAATCAATATCTTGATAAACCAGAGTGATTGTTTTAATCTTTTCTTTTTCTTCTCTCCCTTCTTTTTTATAGATGTGATCCCTCTTTTGAGGGGACAGCATGTCAGGTCCCCTTTTACAGGTGTCCTGCCATTCTGGTGGAGGAGGCCCACTTTGGGGAGGCATTCTTTGCATACTTTCACTTTTGCTGTAACACTGTACTTGCTTGGAAAATAGGGAGGAGGATCGCCTTCAGAGACGGGATAGACTCCTTCCCAACTGGTTTCAGCCTGCTACCAAGGTTGCTATGCCGCAAAGATGAACCGCTATTTATCCTGGGCTTTGACGTTCTCAAAACAACCTTGTGGCACTCTATTGACTGCCAGTGGACTGGCCAGGGGAGCTGGGTTTCATTGTGGGAAGAGTAGCTTGTTGCTTTGCGCAGGAATGTTAGATTCCACTTGGTTCTACTGAAACCACTACCTCTCAGTAAAAGTTCTTTTGATTAACTACATGGAGTCAAGAGTCATGCTTTCCTGAAGGGGACTGCTGGGGGAGGTCCTTACAGTTCTACTTGGATTACAGATTCTACTCCTAGGGCTATTCTGTTTAACACAAGTCTTTCTAAAAGTTTATAGGTAACACAGAGAAGAGCAATTGGCTGTAATTTTGGGGAAAATTTGGATTCTTCCCTGGTTTCAAAACTGCACTAATTTTGGTCTTCTTGAATATAGGAGGAAGCCATCCTGAGTATAGTATGGAACTAAAAAAGGAAGCAAGCCTACATTTAGTAGCTGGTCCACTGTTCTTTAGTACTTCTTGGAACATATCATCAAATCCTGCAGCCCCCTCTACACTTTTTCGGCTGTAAATGGGTATGAATATAAAGCACGTAGTAGAAGATCATGCTTCAATAGTCTAAGTTCAAAGCTAATTTATTTGGCAAATTTCTTATATCTTGTTGTCCTTGAAGTAGAAACGAGATGGTTAGCTATGAATTCCATGTGATCGTAGAATGTTTTCTTGAAGATATGGATGATGACTCCAGTTTTCAGATAAGGGATCAGACTTAAAAGAATTTCTCCCAATTAGAAATCTAACTTTATCTTCCAAGGACCATTCAAAATGTGGGAAAAGTTATAGAAGCTATAACAAGGGATTAAAAAAAGCTTACCTGTTTTAGCTCCAGCGGAGCCAGAATCGTCCCCACCTAAAAGAATAGTTTGATTAAAGAAGGTTTGTTACATATCATAAAGTCATGCTGTGCAAGACAGAAAATGGGCTACCTTTTGGTAAAAAGTAAAGTAGAAGCCAGGATTTTTTATGAAATAATATTGATGCATGTTTGAAATCAGGAGTTCTTCCAAACATTTCAGTTCAAATGGGATGTTTCATATTTGAAACAGTTTAAATCAGTATGTTCTACGTCTCCCTGCTTAAAACCAAACCTTAAGCCTTAATGTATATTGCTTGTAAAGAGTATGGTATTTTTTGCTGAAGTGTTCCTCATTATTGCAATTACTCAGATATGTTCCAATATGTTTGGTTATAAGCTACTTTTAAAGTTAAAACTTTTAAATTTCTTACATGAATTCTCCATCACAAAATTGTAGAAAATGACTGCTTAAGTCAATGAACTTAACTCCCCTTCTAAGGGCAGGAATTTAGATTAAAATGTGCTTGACAGCTTAGCTTGAATTTGAGTTTTAGAGGCAAATGGCATGCCACTAAATAGCAAAAATACTATATACACTAAAATAGCAGAAATAATATTTCCAGTTGTGCAAGTAAACTAATATATTTAATTCTCAACCGAATTACCTCTGATGGATCACCCACAGTCAAATCAAATTAATATGGCAAAATAAGGCACTAAATTAACTACGTATGTTTGCTCTGAAGGAAGACCATTGCTTCAAATATATAGGAAAAAGCACTCTCACTGTCTAGTTTCAGTTTGAAGTTATATTCTTATTTCATCTGTGTTTTGCACCAACTACTTTTATTTATGATAAAAAATATTCTAGTAGAGTTGATATAATCAAAAATGATTTAATAAGTCATAATAGCCATATATCCCGTCAATTCTTTTTTTTTAAATTTCCTTTATGCCTGATATAGCATGTTTGTGAGCTACAATTAAATAGTCTATGTGTCTTATTGTGGCTGCTTGACAACCAATGTCTTATTAAACATACAATATATTATTATTTTTAATTAACATTATTAAATAGGTTATAAAAATGAATAATAAGTTAAGCTTATATGAATTAAAATATTCTTGTTCTGTAGCTACCTATAAAATATTAAGGACTGCCCTTACAGTATCAAAAAACATGATGGCTTTATGTAAACAAGTTTAAATTGACCTTCTTCATTTTAAATGAAGGAGCAAGATTTTACTGAATTGTTAACACATGTAAATATTATCCAAAACAAATGAATACATTAAGAAAATTAATGCAGTAAGAAATATCTGATGCACCAGTTTTGAAGAAGAGTTTAGTGTAAGAAAAGAAACATATGCTGATAACAGCCTACATACCTGAGGAAGGGTTAGAAGCACAGCCTAGATTTTAAAAATGTGTATAATAATATGAGAAGCAACAGTCTCATTATGACCAAAACACTCAAATTATGCTCATAGATATAATTGAGAATTAAATAATAAGTTTTTATTAGTTGTACACGCAAACCTACACATGAAATCAGGAGCTGGTCCTACAAAGTAGCAATACAAGTAGACCTAGTTTAGTGGTCTACCTGTTTTGCTTGTACAGAAACTATTTATAGTTACAACAATAAGGAAAAAGTAACTTTGTGACCAGTCCTTGCATTTGAAGTTTATAAAGCAAAGGAAAGCTGAAGTAAGCATATAAACATTGTGGCAGTTTCATTTAGCAACCATTTCACTTACAACCAAGTTACTGGTCCCAATTGTGGTTGCTAAATTAGGATGACCTGTAAAACATTGCTCTGCTTATATGTTTTATAAAAGCAACTCCAATCTTTTTTAGAAAAAAATCATGCTATTAAAAATAGGAGAAGCATTGAAGTTATAAAGAAACATTATAGTAAGCAATTCAACATATTATCAGACCCAAGCAACGTATCACACGCATGTTAGTATAGGGACTGCAGTGAGTGCTCCTTTGCAGCAACAGTTCTGTCAGCCTATATTTTTGTATTCATTTATCTGTGAGCAAATCCTATGAAGCTCAATGGGACTTTAAAACAATATTGTATAAAGACTGCACTGTAATGGCTGCATTTGACCATATTTCTAGAAAAAAAAAATTTTTTAGAAAAAAATATGAATATAAAGACCGATTGTCTGATTTAACGACACTTTTTCAGCATTCTTAGTAAATATTATCCAACATGAAATGTTTATTTATTTTTATTTTATTTATATACTACTTTAGATTTTGGAAAAGATGAGTATTAAAAAAAATATTTTACCTAAGGCGGAATCAAACTAAAATTTGTACACTGGAGCACACACACAAGAGGCAATAATAATAATAATAATAATAATAATAATAATAATAATAATAATAATAATAATAATAATAATAATAATAATAATAATAATTTGGAACACAATATCCCGGATATCACAGTTGTAGAGAACCGAAGCGTACAGCTGATTGATATCACTGTATCAGGAGATGCCAGAGTCGAAGAAAAAGAACTGGAAAAAATTACAAAATATTGCGACCTGGCCATCGAAACTGCACGATTATAGATGAAAAGTGTAACAGTGGTACCCATTGTCATTGGGGCACTGGGAACTATGTCCAAAAACTTTGCAAAATACATCAAGAAACTGCAGCTTCCTGCAATAACTCCAGCAATGTTACAAAAAACTGCGCTACTCGGAACATCTTATATTTTAAGGAGATACCTGGTTGACAACTAGGATGCTAGTAGCAACCCGTGTCAACCACCAGCGCCAGCCAATTTGAATGTTCAGTTGACTGAGGTTCATGTTTAATGAATAAAAGATATAATAATAATAATAATGATGATGATGATGATGATGATGATGATGATGATGAAGTTGGAAGGGACCTTGGAGGTCATCTAGCCCAACTCCCTGCTCAGGCAGGAAACCCTATTCCATTTCGGACAAATGGCTGTCCAGTCTCTTCTTAAAAACTTCCAGTGTTGGAGCATTCACCACTTCTGGAGGCAGGTTGTTCCACTGGTTAATTGTTCTAACTGTCAGGAAGTTTCTCCTTAGTTCTAGGTTGCTTCTCTCCTTGATCAGTTTCCATCCGTTGCTTCTTGTCCTGCCTTCAAGCGCTTTGGAAAATAGCTTGACTCCCTCTTCTTTGTGGCAGTCCCTGAGATATTGAAAGACTGCTATCATGTCCCCCCTCGTCCTTCTCTTCATTAAACTAGACATACCCAATTCCAGCAACCGTTCCTTATATGTCCCCAGTCCCCTAATCATCTTTGTTGTTCTTCTCTGTACTCTTTCTAGAGTCTCAACATCTTTTTTACATTGTGGTGACCAAAACTGGATGCAGTATTCCAAGGCATTGTAATGTGGTATTAACATTTCACATGATCTTGATTCTATTCCTCTGTTAATGCAGCCTAGCACTGTGTTGGCTTTTTTGGCAGCTGCAGCACACTGCTGGTTCATATTTAAGTGATTGTCCACTAGGACTCAGAGATCCCTCTCACAGTTACTACTATTGAGCAAGGTACCCCCTATACTATACCTGTACATTTGGTTTTTCTTGCCTAAATGTAGAACCTTACTTTTTTCACCATTGAATTTCATTTTGTTAGATAGCGCCCAGTGTTAAAGTCTGTCCAGATCCTCCTGTATCTTAAGCCTGCCTTCTGGAGTGTTGGCTATTCCTGCCAGCTTGGTGTCGTCTGCAAATTTGATGAGTTCCCCATCTATCCCCTTGTCCAAATCGTTGATGAAGATGTTGAAGAGCACTGGGCCCAGAACAGAGCCCTCGGGCACCCCACTACATACTTCCCTCCTTGTAGATGCGGTTCCATTGAGGACCACACGCTGAGTACGGCCGGTCAGCCAGCTACGAATCCATCTGGTGGTGATGCTGTCTAACCCACATTTTTCTATCTTATCAAAGTAGTAGGTTGTGATCTACTTTATCAAATGCCTTACGGAAGTCCAAGTAAATTATATCCACAGCAGTCCTCTGATCCACTAATTTTGTCACTTGGTCAAAGAATGCAATAAGATTTGTCTGGCATGATCTGTTTTTGACAAACCCATGTTGGCTTTTAGTAATGACTTTGTTTGCCTCTAGGTGTTCGCTGATTCATTGTTTGATTATCTTTTCCAGAATCTTCCCAGGTATTGAGGTCAGGCTGATAGGTCTGTAATTTCCTGGATCCATTTTTTCCCCTTTTTTGAAGATGGGAACTACATCAGCTCTTTTCCAGTCCTCTGGTAGTTCCCCAGTGCTCCAGGATCTTTGAAAAATATAGTTCAGTGGTTCTGAAATCACATCTGCCAGTTCCTTGAGAACCTTGGGGTGTAATCCATATGGTCCTGATGATCTGAACTCGTCTAGGCAGGACAGGTGCTCACTTACCATTTTCTTGCCTATCTTAACTTGTGTTTCTATTCTGTTTTTTATGGCACTATTTTTGATAGGTTGGTCTGTTTTTTCCCTTTGTATAAAGACAGATGCAAAAAACGAGTTAAATAGTTCTGCTTTCTCCGTGTTGCTTGGCACCTTCTTGCCATTTTCACCCACTAATGAGCCAATAATTTCCTTCACTTTTTTCTTGTTTTTTACATGTTGAAAGAAGCTTTTTTTGTTATTTTTGACTTTGGTCGCAAGCCTTAGTTCATTTTGAGCCTTAGCTTTCCTCACTTCATCTTTGCAGGCTCGGGCTATTTGCTGATATTCTGACTTAGTTATGTGCCCCTCTTTCCATTTTCTATACTTGTCCTTTTTATCTTTCAATTTATCAGAGAGTTCTTTCTGCAGCCATGCTGGTTTCTTTTGAGAGCTGTTATTTTTCCTCTTTGTTGGTATTGTGCTAGATTGGGCTTTTATTATCTCACTTTTCAACATTTCCCAAGCTTCTTGAGTTCTTTTCCCCTTGAGGATTCTCATCCATGGAATCATTCCCAAGCCCTCTCTAAGTTTATTGAAATTAGCTCTCTTAAAGTCCAAGACTCTAGTTTGACTGTGTTCTATTGCTTGTGCTTCCATAATGTTGAATTCCAATACTGCATGATCACTTCCTCCCAAGGTTCCTGTGGCTTTAATTTTGTTCCAATAAACAAATAAACATAATATAATGAATGGACTGAATGCGAATCAAATCTTAAGTTAATAACTGAAATCCTGGGTAATATATTTTTATGAACACACGTTACAATATTTTCATATTTTCCCATTTTAAATAGAGTGAATACTTAAAACATACCTGATTGTGGATTCTCAGGTGGCAAGTTACCATCTAATAAATCTGAATCTTCAAATCCTTTAATAAAAACAAAAGGAGTAAAAGCAATTTATATATATATATAAATACAGAAAGTGTCTCAGACAGACCGGTCTGATTGATTGCACCTTGGTATTTTTTGACTGCTATACTGCAGTTCTATTTTTATAATCACTTTTGCCTTGCCGCCCCCCATACTAGGGGCATTAAGCAGGCTCAAGTTGCTACTGCGATACATTACAAATTCAGATTTCTTTTTGTCAGCAAAAATAAATATATATACGTATACATACACACATACGCACACACACCAATTTACATAGTGCAGTTTTACATAATTTCCATTAAGAATCTTAACTATATCTCAAACTCATATGTTTTGTTGCTTAGATAGATTTTAAATTTTAAATCTATCTAAATACTAAAAATGTTTCTGAATTAATAATGTATTCATAATTATGAATACATAGGTGTCAAGAAAACAAAATATTATTTTGCATGTGGATTGTGCAAATCCTTTGAAATGCTACACTAACACTCAGAATTTAGGGAACAAACAGAGTGAACTTGAAGCATTAGTACATGAAGGCAGATATGATATAATTGCCATTATTGAAACTTGGTGGGATGAAACTCATGACTGGAATGTACTGATGGAAGGATACAAACTATTAAAAAGAAACAGACCTAAGAAAAGAGGAGGTGGTATTGGCTTCTGGTTCTGTGCAGCTAGCACCACAGCTGAGGGATTGTGAAGATCTGCGCCCTATGGCTGATTTCTCTCTGTTTGGGGACCCTAAATGGGCCCAAAACCACCCCAGAGAGGTGGCAAGGAAGGAGGGAAGCCCCTCCGGTCCTGGGGAGACGGTGGTCGATCTGGACATCCGGGGAAAGCTCTCCAAAAACCAACAGAAGGCTAGCGTCATTCGTGAGTCTAGCCCAAACTACATGCAGCCAAAGCCAAAAAGCACTAAACTAAGCATGATTTTAAACAGTGTGAGCAAACTGGGTAAGAATATTGATTCTCTCTTTTCTACCTGACTTATTTCCTGGAAAAAAAGAAAAAAAACCAGAAGTAAAAATCCTCCAAAAATGAGGGGGTGTGTGTCTTTGCTCCACCCTCCTCTAAACGGAAGCGGCGAATTAAGTTTACAGGGGAAAAAATACAGAAAATTGAAAGATAGACTGGTGTTGACATCTAGTTGTGGATGAAAATACTGCCCTAAATATACAGCTCAGAAAGAAAAGCCTGTTGTGACCTTCAGGGCTTTGATTAAATAAAGAGCAGCTGTAACGAAAGAAAAGAAAACATTGTGGACTATCTACAAAGTGAGAACTATAAAACTTAGAAAAAATTGACCTTCCTGGATTATAAATATTTTTTAATTTGTGACTTTAAAGTGATTGGCAGAGAAAGGATTTTTGGTCATTATGGAGCATCAGAGATCTGCAGAAAGAACATATCAAGAAAAAATAAATACTTACTAGGAGGAAATATATGTTCTGTTACAACAAATGCAAATGATATTAATTTCAAACCATGAGAAAATTAAAAATGAATTTGAAAATTTAAATGAATGCATTCTCAATTTAACGTCACAACAATTAAATGATCAGAAAACAAAAAGAGAGAGAGAGATCATGTAAAGCAGACAACTGAATATAAACTAGTGGAGATTCAAGTGGAGAAGGACTTACAAGAAACATTGAACATGGAAAAGATAACTTGTACTCTAAGACCACAAAGTAAATTTGAGGATAAGGAAAAAGATTTGACAAAATGGATTGCTGAGCTGTTGGGAGTACTACAAGAAATGGGGAGACAAGGAATGATGAGAGAAATCTTCAATGACTATGAAGGGGCAAAATCTTTTTACAAAGACATGGTGTTTGATTTGGCTACTATATCCACAACAACATTTACAAGATTATGGAAAGACTTTGATTCAACAGAATATATTGATTGGGAAAGATGCTTGGCAATAGAAGAGGGCTAAAGTGAGAATTGAGGAATTAGATGATGGAGTGTATCAGAGGGAATATTTAAAAACACTTTTAAAACACTTGTTTGAATATGGTTGAAGAAATAGAAAGATTTTAGTTTAAGAGGGATGAACCCTCCAATTAAGACAGTATTTTTTTATTTTTTTTTATATGAGAAATATAAAAATGTTTGGGGTGATCAATATAAAGGAAATGTTTTAGATATTTAAATGTAATTGATTTTAAGAAAATTCCAATGGATAACTAAAAAGGAAAAAATGTTTTGAATAGAGTTAAAAGATTAGATGATTGGATTTATTAAATGGAACATTTAAAGATTAAATATAGGTTTAATTATGGGTAAAAATGGAGGATGGAGCCCCATCGGAGGCTTCCTGACCGAGGCTGCAGAGGCGCACCCAACAGGGCAGGGCAGCCAGGAGGGGGGCGCTGGGCCGCAAAGCCCGGATGGCCAGCAGCGACGAGGGGAAGCAGGGCCGTCTCCTTGCCGCCACCCGGTGGCCGTCCGGGGGTTCCGAGCTTGGGTGGTTGCCCTGCCCTGCTGGATGCCCCTCTGCAGCCTCGGTCAGGAAGCCTCCGATGTGGCTCCATCCTCCATGCAGAGCGAGGCCTGGGTAGCGATGGCCAGACCCCTGGCATGGCCTCTCCGCCTCCAGTCCCAAGGTGCTGACAGGGCAGGGCTGCCGGGCAGGTTGCCAGCCAGGAGTTGGCAGCCTTTTGGGAAAGCAAAAACCCTGTCTGCCCCGTGGCCAGTTTGCTGCCTCCTGCCCAGTGCCGCTGCCATGAGGCTGCGGAACAAGCCAGGTGAAGGTAAGGAACTGGGTCGGGGCTCTGCGAGGGTTGGGTCAGGGAAGCGGGAGAATGGCCAGGAGCCAGCCAGCCAGCCAGCGAGAGGAGGGTTGGGTGGGGGAGATTGGGATCTGGCCCCTTTTACCTTGTCCAGGGGCTGGGGAGAAGTTGTCTGCCAAGCCTCATGGGCAGCAGCGGCGGCGCAGGAGGCAGGGGGAGGAGGACGTGCGTGTTTGCAGTTTGGAGGAAAAAGGTGGGACATTGCATCCACTTGCGCTTTGCAGAAGCTCGCTGGGGGAGGAGGACGCGTGTGTTTGCACTTTGGAGAAAGGGCGAGAGAGGAAGGAAGGAAGGAAGGAAGGAAGGAAGGAAGGAAAGAAAGAGGGAGGGAGGGAGGGAGGGAGGGAGGCACATGACCCTGGGGATGCTGCAATGGTTATAAGTGAAAAATAGTCATAAGCCACTTTATTCAGTGCCTTTGTAACTTCGAACAGTCACTAAGTTAACTGTTGTAAGTTGAGGACTACTGTACTTTATCACTTTTTTCCTTTTTTGGGAGGGGGGTGTCATCAAGTTTTTGATACCTTGCGAGGCGACTGGAAAAGCCCTGAGTAAGAGTACTCGGATTGCAGCTGCTTTCTTGCAAGTATGTAGAATGGTGTGGGACCCACAAGTTTTGCAAAGTTAAGTGAGGAAGTTGGTTACAGCTTATTAGGAAAGATAAAATAAGCAATCAAGAATGCTTTATTGACCATTCTTCGTCCAGATTTTATATCAGTTGCATCTGCTAGTACAGGCATTCTGCTTCAGATTTCTGTTATCTTCTGCATCTGGTAAAATGAACGAGTACTTTTCCAACAACCTGTAAAATCCAAGACACTGTGCTTTCGTTGTTTAATTCCCCCCTCATACAGTAGTGGCCAAAATTGTGAAACCTTTTGGGAAAAGTATACAGTAGAAATGCCACCAATTTTTCTTCTAATTTCTTTATAACTGTAGCCTTGTTCACTTAATAATACTATTGTCAACGCTGCAAATACTGTATATTCTTGCTTTGACAATATGCAGAACTGTCTGGTATTTTTAGAGTTAATGCAGAGCAGAAGAGGGTGGAGGGAAAAGCCTGGGAAAGAGAGAGGAAGGAAACCTTTGACCTTCACACTAATTGGATAACGTGATATATGACAGCTAATTTAGGGAGGGAACATGCTGATAATTTAATTGCTCAGAGGAAGAGAATTTAGATATTAGCATATCTTCGTTATGCCTGTGCCGACATTTTGTAACAATAAATTACTTTTAGGAAAATCAATGCCTGGAAGTTCTTTGAAGTGTTTCATTAGCCGGAACCATAACAACTATTTTACATCGCTTTCTGGGCAACCAGTCAACTCTTTGCACCATGACTTTAATTTTATTACGTTTTACAAGCTCACTAAATGAAAGAATACAAAAAACCCAAACCAACTTGATAGCGATCACATAACACACTGACAAATGTCCTCCTCTCAGCTTCAATACATGACATCAATAACTGAATCCTATTGTGATCTGATTGGCTCATTGCCAAAACAAGATGACGAGTCTCCTGCCCACTGCCCCATCTGCCAGAGACCCCCTGGATCTCCACCAACCCTGCCCGGCCCCCACAGGCATCCCTCAAGAGCAACATCAAGGTGGCCACGCCCACCCACACTGCCATGACTACTGTAGCCACGCCCATTCAGTGAGCTATGCCCATCCAGTGGGCCATGCCCATCCACACTTCCATGAGTACCGTGGCCACGCCCACCCAGTGGGTCACACTCACTCGGCACCCAGCGATACATAAGTGGGTTTTGGGTTGCAGTTTGGGCACTCGGTTTCTAAAAGGTTCGCCATCACTGTATTAGGCCCACCCCAAAAAATCAAGCTAGGGCTTATTGTTGGTGTAGGCCTTATTTTTGGGGAAATACTGTAGTAGCCAGATCATACCAAACCAATCTTATTTCATTCTTTGATGGAATGACTAAATTAGTAGATCAGCGAAATGCTGTGGACATAATATACTTAGACTTTAGCAAGGCATTTGACACAGTAGACCCCAACCTATATCTTGGTAAAATAGAAAAATGTGGGATAGAAAGCATCACCACCAAATGGATTTGTAACTAGGTGACAAACTTTACTCAACGAGTAGTCCTTAATGGTACTACATCTACATGGAAGGAAGGAAGCAGTGGCATACCACAAGTTTCCATCTTAGGTCTGGTACTCTTCAATATCTTCATAAATGACTTAGATGAAGGAATAAAAGGGGAACTCATCAAATTTGCAGATGACACTAAGCTGGCAGGACTAGCCAACACCCCAGAGTACAAGCTCAGGATCCAAAAAGTTCTTGTCAGACTTGAACAATGGACCCTATCCAATAACATGAAATTTAATGTGAAGAAAAACAAGGTTTTACACCTAGTCAGGAAAAACCAAAAGTGGAAGTATAGATTAGGCCAGTAATGGCGAACCTTTTAGAGACCGAGTGCCCAAACTGCAACCCAAAACCACTTATGCATCGTCGGGTGCCGGGTGGGTGTAGCCCATTGGCTGGGTGTGGCCCATTGGCTGGGCGTGCCCATTGGCTGGGCATGGCTGAGGTGGTAACGGCAGACTGGGTGGGACTAAAAAGTTCAATCAATCAATTCCAACTTTGCAAGATTTTTTTTCCCGCGAGAAGTTGAAATTGATTGATTGATTGAACCTTTTTTTTTTGCACACGGCGGCTGAGGCCTAAAGCAAAAAGGTTTTATAAAACCCAGCTGAAGGCCTAGGAATGGGGCGACGGCGTGTGTGCCCACAGAGAGGGCTCTGAGTGCCGCCTCTGGCACCCGTGCCATAGGTTCGCCACCACTGGATTAGACGAACCCTGGCTCAGAAACAGTGAGACAGTTAATGGGACAGCCAGTGTACTCAAGGTTAATAGTGGCTGCAAGACCAACTTAATGGTACAGCCAGCACACATGCAATGCTTCTGATGGCAGCAGGGCCAGTAAAGGCACAGCCAGTGCTCTGGTCAGTTCTACTGTGGCGGTAAGACCAACTCAATGGTAACGGCCAGTCCACATGTAGTCCCCTTAGTGGCGGCAAGACCAACTTAATGGTAATGGCCAGCACACTAGTAACAGTTGGTGGCGGCAAGACCAATTCAATGGTATGGCCAGCACACTTTGCACAGTCAGAATATGAAGATAGTCAACACTAGATTGAGGCCTTGTGCGAGGCCAAGATGGCGGCTTTACATCTGCTCGCCTCTGTTTGTAGGCCTAGCGCCCTGAGGCTGAATTGCCCCGAATGAAGGAAGAGGATAGACTGTTTTAAAGTCCAAGTCGACTTTGGTAGATGGAATCAGTCACTTAATGCAGTAATTCGCCGAAGAATGTAAATGCACAATGATTCTTTGCTTTTGTTGTGTTTCAGCGCACTTTGCGGCTTTCAAAATGGCCGCCACTAAGGCTGTGCTCTGATCTCGGGCCTGTATGTTGTGGCCGGATTTATATGGCCGTTGCTTCACTCGCCGGGGAACCTAATGCCAATTCCACTCCAAACGGGTAATTCTAGATTCGTCCCCTTGAAGCTGACTGAAGCCTGTTAGGAAAATAAGGGCTTCTTCCCCCAGCTGAAACCGCCCATGCAGCGCCCAAAATGGCGACCGCTGCCTGCCGAAAGCGAAAGGGGGACTTGGGGCTTCAACTGAAGCCTGTAACAATAAGTAATTGAAACAGCTCCAAACCGCTCTGAAATGAGCGCAGCAAACAGTGAATAACCGGTGTGCTCCAATCTGCTCCCAAACCGAGTGCAGAAAAAGAAATGGGACGAGTATAGCAAGCGTCACACATGGTGCCCAAAATGGCCCCCGCAATGAACTGGCCGCCGAAACAGACGAGGCTTGAGGCTTCTGTTTGAAGCCTTCAAAGTCCTTTGAAGAACTGGACGGTTTAGCGCTGTGCTGCTAACAGCCCAGCGAAGGGAATGGGGGAGAAACAAAAAGCAAGAACAATACAACCTGATCACTGCTTCTGCCTGAGACTAAGAGCCAAGCTTTGCCATGTCTCTCTTGAGCGAAGACTAAGTCGTGACTGGGGATTCCTAGCCTAAGGAGAGAGGCGTGGCAAAGGTTGATTGACTTAGTCTCTAGGGCAGGAAGACAAGATCAACCCATCTGTGGATTCTCCATTGTCATGCTGGAGAAAAGAAGGATTAGGGGTGACATGATAGCAGTATTCCAGCATACTGCTATACTGGAATATAGGGGCCGCCACAAAAAAGAGGGGGTCAACTTATTTTTTAAAGCACCAAAAGGGAAGACAGAAACAATGGATGGAAACTAATCAAGGAGAGAAGCAACCTGGAATTAAGGAGAAACTTCCAGACGGTGAGTACAATTAACCATTGGAACAGCTTGCCTTCAGAAGTTGTAGGTGCTTCATCACTAGAGGTTTTTAAGAAAAGACTAGACAGCCACCTATCTGAAATGGGATAGGGTCTCCTGCTTGAACAGGGGATTGGACTAGAAGACCTCCAAGGTCCCTTTCAGCTCTATTCTGATTGATTGATTGATTGATTGATTGATTGATTGATTGGTATTTCAGAACATGTGGGAACACATATTAAGCATCTCTTTTGAAAACCAAAGCGTATTCACTTTTATTTATGGACACTAGCATAAAACATCAAACATACCATAAACTAAAGTGCTAAAAGAGAAAAGAGCCGAAGTGGAAAGGGACCATGCTCTTATAGCACATATAGGAGTTGAACACAAGTACATATGTATCATGCTGTCTAAACTGATTAGGGTGGAGATGGCAGGCAGAAAGGTAAGAAAGTTTTCCAAGGGATAGAGCACAAGCAAGAAGTACTTGTGGGCTATCGTGGAAGATATCTCCCTCCAAGTTATAAAAGGTGACCATTCTCAACTAGAGTTGCAAGAGATCCTGGAGGTTTTCTAATCCCACCCGCTGCTCACCATTCTGGACTAGTTCTTAAATTAGTTGTTTTTCTCAGTTATACTGTACAAAACTAGTACCTAGGAAGGTAAATTTTAATGGGTGGTGATTAGAAGAACATCGTCTAATAGTTACCACCTAAGGCATCTTATATTGAAATTGAAATCCTCACTTAGACAGAACAAAAGCTCTTCTTTGAGGTACAAAGAGAATGCTATCTGATCCCCACAATACAAACAAGATGTTGAGACCCTGGAAAATGTGCAGAGAAGAACAACAAAAATGATAAAGGATCTGAAGGCTAAATTGTATGACAAATGGTTCAGGGATCTAGGTATGTCTACTCTATGGAAAAGAAGGATCAAGGCGATATGATTCTTCCAGGACTTGAGGGGCTGTCACAAAGAGGGAATTGACTTATTCTCTAGGACACCAGAGAGCAGGACAAGAAAAAAAAGAAAAGAAAAGAAAAGAAAAGAAAAGAAAAGAAAGAAGGAAGGAAGGAACCTAGAAGAAAAATTTTCTGACAGTAAGAACAATTAATCAATGGAACAGTTTGCCTCCTGTGGTTGTGGGTGCTCCATTACTACAGGATTTCAAGAATAGACTGGACAACCATTCAACTGGGATGATATAAGACTCTTGCCATGAGCAGGGGGTTTGACTTCCAAGGTCCCTTTCAACCCTATGATTCTATGACTAGGCACTAAAGATGTACTTTTTGAACAAGCTTACCCCCACTGTTGCCATGACTTCCAGGTTTAGGCTGAGGAGGTGGTGCTGTTGTTTTTTTGGAGTCATCGCCATCTAGTAATAAAGAAAGATAAGCACAACTTTCAAACTAGAAAATGTATTTATTTATTTAGAAAATTTATATGGCTGCCAAATTTACTCTTGATGATCCTGGGTGATTTACAAAGAACAAAACCAATATATCCCCACCCCTCTGGCAACAACAATCAGATCAACTACATGATGGGCTCCCTATCACTTTGGGGTCTCCATGCTCACTGGCAGAACCATGCCTTGAGAGGCTTGTGAAAGAGTGTCAAAGCGAGGGCCAATCTTATCTCTGCAGGGATGATGGTCCACAGGGAGAGAGCTACTACAGAGAAGGTCCTTCTTCTTGGTCCCACTAAATGGACCTTGTGAGGTATACAAGAAATGTATAATTTTTCATAATATAGATTATCTTATATTTTATAAAAACTATTTAGAGCCAGTATTTTAAGGTATAATCATATAGCCAAAGCGCAGCCATATTTAACCTTGCTAAAGTGGAATTTATTTTATTCCTCACAGCCTCTTTAGGGGCTAAGAACCTGTAACATTCTCTGCCTTTCTGCCATGGTGGGTCAGGTAGATATGATTGGGAAAAGATGGTCTTTTCAAAATCAAAAGTAATCTAATACTATTACAGGATGTATAGAATTAGAAAATTGCTATCTGTTTATCTGAATTAATTAAGCAAAATAAATCTTGCCAATGCCAAAAAGAAAAGTATTTATGTACACAACAGTTATACGTGAGCTCTGTGAAACTTTCTATTCAAATACTATCATGTATTTAAAATCTGATATAATCCACATCTTAAGAAAGCAGAACTCTTGGAAACAGTCTCTTCCAACAGGAACTTTTATTAAAAGAAATTGATAGTAGGCATAATAGACAGGATCTGAGGGATTCCCTTATACATCGATGTTTTAAAGCAGTGATGGCAAACCTTTTAGAGACTGAGTGCCCAAACTGCAACCCAAAACCCACTTATGCATCGTCGGGTGCCGGGTGGGTGTGGCCTATTGGATGGGCGTGGCTGCAGTGGTAACAGCAGACTGGGTGGGACTAAAAAGTTCAATCAATCAATTCCAACTTTGCAAGATCTTTTTTTTTCCGTGAGGAGTTGAAATTGACTGATTGATTGAACCTTTTTTTTTGTACATGGCGGCGGAGGCCTAAAGCGAAAAGGTTTTATAAAACCCAGCTGAAGGCCTAGGACTGGGGCAACGGCGCATGTGCCTGCAGAGAGGGCTCTGAGTGCCGCCTCTGGCACCCGTGCCATAGGTTCGCCACCACTGTTTTAAAGTGTCCCTAAGCAAACTCCTCTCCACATTCCTTCCAGCCGACTCAGGCCGGCAATTCTCTAGGTCAGTGATAGCAAACCTTTTAGAGACCGAGTGCCCCAAAACCGCCCCCTCACCCCCGTCCCTGCTCTGCCCTGCCCACTGGGCCACCCACCACCTCCACGGCCCCCCATAGATCACCCAGGCAGCCCAGCAGCGTCATGGCGGCCACGCCCTTCACCCATGCCCCACAGCATCATTTGCGCGCGATGGGGTGCAAGGGCAGAGTCTTGTCCCCGCTGCCCGGCTACCATGTCCTTGGCTGCACTGCTTTGCATGGGCTATGCCCAGGGGGCGACTCTCCTCCGGGGGGGCTGCTGGTGAGGAGGTGGCTGTGGGAGGAGGCGGGGCTGTGGAGATGGTGCGTGTGCCTACAGAGAAGGCTCCAAATGCCATAGGTTCGCCACCACTGTTCTAGATGTTAAACCCATGAAAGATAACATCAAACCAGCTCCACTATCATTCACCAGCTCTTTAGAGTTTATCTTGATGACTGAGAAATAAACCAGATTCCGGAGGTCTGTGTCTTTTCACACACACCCCCTTTTTTTAGTTTCCCAGTAAGGAAGAGAAGTTATGAGGGACATAGGATAAGAGTCAAATGGTTCCATATAATGGTTAGTAGAGGCGAATAAACAAAAGGTTACTTTGTAGTGAATAGAGGAAGTAAAACTAATAAAACCCCTCTGCATGTCCCCCCTCCCCCTTGGGAGTATGGCAGGACCCAGGAAATAGCAATAATTGGTTTTAGATTAGAGGAGATAGATAGAAAGGAAATATAACTGGATCGTGACATATAGCTTGCTGGGTGTATTTGAGTCCCTCATGCAACACCTGTTTTGGCTTTTAGTGGGCTTCCAAAATCAAATTTAAGATGCTAGTTATCATCTATAAAGTTCATACATGTCTTGGCTATGATATGATCTGTATGTAAATTACATGCAGTTACACTTCTCAATTTTATCATAAAATCAGAAGGAGGAAGTAAAGTGTGTAAGGCCACATGTGAAAAGAATACAGGAAAATAATATGAAAAGGAGTCCTAAAAATGGAGTCTTCCGAGCTGGTACTGGTTTGGATGGAAATATGTTGGAATATTCATGAGCAGGAAGAGTCATGTGGTAACTCAGTCAGCCAATGTGAAGAAAGTGCTACTGAGTCTGTGCAAAAGGGTATTGAGTTGGAACTGGATTTTGTTTGTTTCAGTTTCAGTCTCAGGTCTGTCTCTGCTGTAAGAAGTCTTCATTGTGCTATGTTGCTGTAAAGAAGAATGTATGGTATTGTAAATATTTTGATATGAATATAAAGAGTTTATTTGAATCAGCTAAATGCAGTCAACTGTGAGAGCTTCTGATTCATTTTTTCACCAATAGAGAAATTAAAATTCTCTAACAGGTTATGGGCCCAGAGCTTACTAAGGACTGCATTGTAATTTAAAGCTGGAAGAAATTGCCTATGTTTAGAAAGTATAAGAACAAGGCAGAATTAGCAGAATGGCTGCAATGAAATTTAAGGAAAGCTCTGTGCCTCGTTTAGGCCAAAAGAATTACATTATATGGACTGCTAAGATGGAATGTTTGCTGAAAGCAAAAGAGCTGTGGTATATCGTAGAAAATACCCCACAAGTGTTTGCAGCTGCTGATCAGAAAAGTCATGATCAAGCAATGGTTTATCTCATCTTAAATTTAGATGATGAACAGTTTCTAAATGTTGCAAATCTAAAGACTGCAAAGGAAATTTGGCTGAAGTTGAGAGCTGTGCACGTGAATGTTTCTGCATGCAATATAGTGCAATTGTCAAGAAAACTTTACAGGGCCTGTTTGCAACCAGGTGAATCTGTGGAACAGCATTTAAATAAAATGCAAAGTTTATTTTTGGACTTAGAACAATGTGGGATTAAATTCCCTGAGTC